TTTCGTCCCTTGTGGGCTTCTTATGCATACCATATGAGCAGACCAGCAGCTGTTCTATATTTTAAAAGAAGAGTTAGAAAGTTAGAAGCATACACGGCTATTCAAACCATAAGCAACTGCTTGGCGTCATGGAAACAGGATTCAACAATAAACTTGTATTTGTGAAGCTTCCCCAAAAATAATAATCCCACTGGGCTGTGTTCAGGTGGTCTTAGGATACTGAACAATCTTTCTATTTCCATCATTTGGATTCACTAAAACATCTCCCTGGTAGAGGCAAAGTGGTAGAGACGACTATATTTATTAGATGTGGGGATTGGTTTCCAACTGATTTCTACCCTTCAATATTTATATTTTTAAATTACAATTTTAAAAGCCCTACTTGTTTTTGCCATTTTTACTTAAACATATTGTGAAAGAATTTGTTTAGCCCCACTGAGGACTGAGTTGTTAATAAAATGAGGCATCTTATCTTATTCTGGGTGATGATGTTCATTGTTCCTTCAGAAATAACCTAATGAATATTAACCAATGTCAAGGAATGGCAGTAATCTTTACACTAGCCCCTTACTTTATACTAATCCTATGGAAGGAAGGACTCTGTAAGCTTTTTGGCCCAGCTTCTGAACCAGGAGAGTGTTAACCTCATTCCCTCTTCACCACTGTTGCTCTCAAAGCTCCCCCATGCAGAGAGCTACATCTGGATCTTCAGTAATAGACTTTATCTTTTGGGAATTGCTGTCCTCTCCAGTATAGTAAGGTCTACATGATTGGTTCTTGACTTTGAATTTCTAGAGTTTAGGAGTATTTTGTGTAACACGATGACTTCTGCCTCTCTGGAGTTTTTAAAGAGAACAAATCAGCTAAAGTTTAAGAAAGTAAATCAGAATCAGGTAGGTATCTGTGTTATTTCAACACAATTGCCTGTAACAGCAGTGGTGACAACTGGTCATGGCAATCAGCAAAGCTGGTCCACAATTTGGGGTGGACGCTTTGCAGGAAAGAAAGGGATTGCTTGTTGGTGTTGAAATTTGGAGTACGGCCAATGAAATGAGCTTAATCTAAATCAGAAGACCTGCATTCTAGGCACAGCGCTGTTGCTTAACAAACTGTGACCTTGAGCAAGTCTTAAAAATAAGATGACCTAAGTGGCATCTAAATTTAGAATCCTGTTATTGTTTATTATTATCATTATTATTAAAAAGAAGTGCATGTAATAAGAAATTTTATGTTTGGAGGGGGTGGAGATTGCAAGTTGTTAATGAAACTATTTAAGAGGGAAATTTGGCAGCTGCAAGGGAACTTATTCTTTTTTGGAGCAGTCTTAATAACCAAGAGGCCTTTCCTAATCACTGTCAGAATGGAACTGTCCAGTTAGAGAGCATGGAAGTCTCTGAGCCCAGATATGGTAACAGAATGGTGAAGTGATGGAAATGACTAGTTGTGGCCTCATTACTGAGACTTACTAAGAATGTACATATTTCCCTGGATGCATGTTTGGAAGTGTGGGAACCCATGGCTGGACTTTTTTCATTGGTGAAACAAGGCGAAATGACTTTTAATTTAACATGAGTATTTATATTTCAGTATCAGTGAAAAGGAGCAAAAACATGAATAATTTAACAGATTGAATAGCAAAAAAAAATAATTTTGAATTTTAATTTAAAAATTCATAGCTAAATTTGTCCTTGGCCCCAGTAATGAACCCACAGTGTGAAGACCTATTTTGGGGAAGGCACTTTGAGTTTTCTCTTCTACCAATGTCCAATGCTTCCCAATAGCCACTGCATACAAGGAATGCTCAGATGCTTTAAAAAATTTGGCAAATTGAGCTACCTTATCTCTCAATGCAGCTTAGGCGTAGGGATTAGTTACAGTTGTTAAAACTGGAAAAGCTCCTTGTTTCAATATCTCAGTTTTATAGATAAAGCAAGCAAGGGCCCCAAAAGCTAAGTCTCACAAGTGATTAATGTTAGAACTGATTCTTTTATACTACATCACACTCTTAAATGTTGGAAGGGATTACTACAGAAGTTGCTTAATAAATGTTTGCTGCTGAATAATGATTCTGAGATGAATTTGTCTTGTAACATCTATGGGAGCTGGTTTAAATCAATGATTCTCATAGAGAAGGGGAAGAGGGAGTCATGTGTAGTTCGAAAACAAAGCAGGTCTTTGTCTTACTGCTTTAGTTTGTTTTTAGTGAAGATGTTTATTTTGAATTTCAAATTACATTAAAAAGAGAACAGGAGATTTTTTTTTTAAAGATTTTATTTATTTATTTGAGAAAGAGAGAATGAGAGAGAGCACATGAGAGAGGGGAGGGTCAGATGGAGAAGCAGACTCTCTGCCGAGCAGGAAGCCCAATGCGGGACTCGATCCAGGGACTCCAGGATCATGACCTGAGCCGAAGGCAGTCGCCCAACCAACTGAGCCACCCAGGCGCCCGAGAACAGGAGATTTTTAAGTTTACTAAGGATGGTTGTACCTGTAAGGGAACTCATGTGTTAGCTTTCCAAAGCTCTTTCCAGGATTTTGCTTCTGTGAATGAATAATATATTTTTTTCACTTGCTATTTTTTTTTCATTTTTAAAAATGAAACTAAAAATGGGTGATTTAGGCCACGAAATTAGTGGATGAATCATCTAGGAATCAGCTTCCTTTTTGTAGGTAAGACAAAAAGGAATTGCAGGTCGAAACAACATATCAACTTATGTCCATCAACTGATGAATGTGAGACAGGGAAACTGAAGGACTCCATAAAAATCTGCTTTTTGCTCCTCTTCCCACTTTTATTCTTGCTAGGACCTGCACCCCCACTTTACACATGCCTCAGAATGCAAATAGTGTATGTCCTCCTTGTAAGGAACGAGCAGTTAATGATTTCTTTGGAATAGATAACATCTAAAGAGGGACCGAGTGAGAATGACCAAATGAAGCCATCATATGCATATTCCAGACCACCATTGGAGCTAGACATCTTGACGCCATGACCCCCTGCTTCCAAGGAATAACACCTCGGTCCTTGTCTTTGTTCTAACTGGTTCCTGGATGCCTGAGAGGACACATACACCAAATCACAATCCCCAATAAAAACCTCCAAACCCCAAGCAAGGACCAGACTCCCTCCTTTCCTTTCTGAGTCTCCCAAACACTCCCTCTGTGTCTGCTCTCTCTATGTCTTCAGTAAGCTCTGCTCTCACTCCTTGCTGGTTCACATTTGATTTCCATCCTACACAAAGCCAAGGACCCTCTTGGCTGGTCCTGTGGACCCCCTTCTGGTTCCTTGGACCCGGCTTTCCAGCATCAAATGGATAAAGTGTGATATGTCTACACTGTGGAATATTATTCAGTCATAAAAAGGAACAAGGTACTGATACATGCTATAATATGGCTGAAACTTGAAAATACCATGCTAAGTGAAAGAAGCCAGACACAAAAGGGTACCTGTTGTATGATTCTATGTATATGAAATGTCCAGAATAGGCAAATCCAGAGACAGAAACTAGATTAGTGGTAACTCCTACCAGAGTTTGTGGGTTGGGGAATGAGGCATTACTGCTAATGGATATAGGGTTTATAATGGGTATGGGACTAGATAGTGTTGATATTTGTATAACATTGTAATGTACTAAATGCCACTTAGTTGTAAATTTTAAAATGAATTGTATTGTATATTTTACAATTAATAAAAAAGGAATTGCACCAGTGACATTTCACTATATCAACCCTTTCCATCTGTCTATGATTTGTGAATAGAGCTAGGCTTTGGGATGAAAGGGCAGCCAACTCGTCTATAGTTAATGGTTTCTTTTGGTTTCTTTTTCTTTCCATTTTATGATTCATTTATTTATTTTAGAGAGGGAGGAGGGGCAGAGGGAGAGGGAGGGGCAGTCTTAAGCAGACTCCACACTGAGCATGGAGCCCAGCATGGGACATGGGACTTGGTCTCACAACCCTGAGATCATGACCTGAGCTGAAACCAAGAGTTGGACGCTTAACCGACTACCCCACATAGGCGTCCCTGCAGTTAACGATTTCTATATGTCACATATATAGATATATAATTATAAAAATGCAGTTTATAAATCATTATATATTATAACATGTTTTATATATTAATTATATAATACAGAAATAGTAATTTATATATATATTTACATATAACAAAATATATTATTCTATAATACATAGCATATAATTATATAATATGTAATTATATAATAATATATGTATGCTTAGAGGTGGAGGTGGAGGGCCAGGGCTTATATATAAATATTTCAGAGAAATTTCTGTTTCTTCTGTAATCATCTCCAGAGTTATAGATAAGACACTGCCTTCTTATTTAAGAGTGAAAAATCTGTTGAAAGAGGTTTTAGACTTTCTTTTTAAACTCTCACCATTCCCATCACTGACTTGAGAACTGTGTCTATATGTAGAAAAACCAGTAGACTGATTAAAAACGGAAAAGTTTAGATCAAGCCTTAATTTATCTGGACTGCAAGTAATCATGTGGACGGAGTGACAGTAACACACTCAACAGTCCTGCTATGTTGTGGCTGGCTATTTATTCTGCTTCCTTATATGGCTCTTGGTTAGAGCTGTTCTCTCATCACTGTTTCTATTCCCCTATAACAAAAGCCCATCCCCTGTTCACACAAGAAATTTGTGTTTTGTTTCTTGATTTCTTGGTGAACTTTCTTTTTGACAATTACTGCACATTTAGTCAACAGTTTGAGAAACATCTGTTTCAGGGTAGAGGTTGCCTGGGTGTCAGAGGTTATTTATATGTGCTTTGAAACTGGATGTAAGAGAAAATTGGCTGCACACATTCTTGTGGCATGATTTTATCAGTCTTTTTGTTTCATCATCTCCTAGATTATCTATTAGAAAAAAAATCAAATGGTTGTTCTTGCTGTAGAAGCTATAACTATTTTTTTCCTAGACAAAATTATATTGACTATCATTGGTTGCACTTAAAAAAACTTTCAAAGATAGAGTGATCCTCTAAAAGAATATTTATTTTTATTTAAAAATATGATACATCCAAGTGAAGCAGTTACACTTTAAACAAATAAAACATAAAACCTTTTCTTTGAATTCAGAGGGAGGGCAATTTGCTTTAGTTCACGGTCACTCTGGATGCCAAGAATAAGAACTGTTCTCATTTTCTTCCTCTGTGAGCATCAGATATAAAGATGAGAAATTTTAGTTATAAGTGAAGTTTTAGAGTTTTAATTTTATTCAGAAACTAAAGCTTCCTCAGTACAATCCCTTTTCTTCATTTTGTTCTACATCTTGTGGAAGACCTGAATTCAGGGGTGTTCTTACATTTACTGAGTGTTAAAGATTGAATGTTCGTGTCCTCCCCAAATGTTGAAATTCTAACTTCCAATGTGATAGCATTATGAGTTGAGGCCTTTGAGAGGTAATTAGGTCATAAGGGTGGAGCCCTCATGAATGAGATTAGTGGTCTTATACAAGGGACCCCAAGAGAACTCTTGCTCTCTTTCTACCATGTGAAGATATGAGTCTGCAACCCAGAGGACAGCTCTCACCAGAACGTGACCTTGCTGGCACTTTGATCTTAGACTTCCAGCCTCTAGGCTGTGAGAAATAAATTTCTGTCATTTATAAGCCACCCAGTCTATAGTATTTTATTATAGCAGCTTGAACTGATGAACACACCGAATTTACTTCTTCAGGTCAATTCCAATATAGTTTTAAAAGAATTTGTTTTCTCATCCCTCTCTGTAGATTTCTCAATATAATAATTATTCTATGGATAACTTATTCACTTTGAGAATTTTGCTTACTTTTTTGTTTACATTCATAATAAAAAATTTCTGACAAAATTTAAAATATTCAACAGAAACCAGCATACTATACAATAATCTGTGTTTAGACTGATAATGAAAATAAAACCAACGCAAATATGGTAGATCCTCATTTTCTAAAGAAATATATCTTTATTGACTTTTTCCATTTTCTTACAAAGCAGTTAAAAAATTCATTCTTGAACTTGCATGCTGTTCAATGTTATGATGGTTGCCTCCTTACGAGACTGTCAGTGGAGCTGTAGTAAGTTCCCTTAAGCACCACAGAAGATAATCATTGCTTTGTCCCACTTTTACAGAAAAGAATCCAAGTTTCATTGAATAGAGTATGCTTAGCTCTCTTGAAGAAGACCAGTTTAGTGGATTAATGTCTAATTTACATAAAGTAATAAAGACAAACTTTGAATCTTTACAGATTAAATGCCCACTTTATACCATGGTGTAATTGTTTGAATTATTGGTGAGTGTACAGCATATAGATGTAGATGTACTAGATACGTCTATAAATAAAATAGTGCTTTATGGTATCAATATTCTTTGGCTGATTTAGATGCCTATAGTGGACTCTTTTAAAAGACTAAAATGAAAATGGCCCCACTATTATTGTCAATCTTAACACTGAGCTTGTGCGGAAGGTTCCTATACTGTTGACTGTTAGCATCTCCAGGTCCACGATATATTCTCTTGGTCCTGATAGCGACTTCACCAGCACAAGCATTGCACTTACAGGACTTGTTTGCTAAAATAAAAGAAAAAAGAGGGAGGGAGAGAATGATTTTTGAATTGGAGTTTCTATTGTGAGTATACCTAGTCCTATAAGAATTAGAGGAAGAATTTTGAGGGTAGGATAAAAGTCACTACTTAATTCCTTTTTGGTTTCAACCTTTCTTGGTTCTTTTCCCCTTGTCCACACATAGTCATTAGTTCCAAGTTACAGGGACCTGCTTTTTTGATAGTTCTGTGTTTTCTGTTCATCCCTCTCTGTTAATGTTTCTCTTCACTTTTACTAAGTCGTACCAGCCTTTATAGAGACTGTAGTTCAGGTGAGAATCTGATAATTTTTGAACTGGTAAACAAAGTTATCACCTTTCCCTTCTTAGCATTATGCATTTGTTTACATTCTAGTAGGCAAAGAGACATGTAAACAGTTAACTTCAATAGAACATAGCAAATGCTAAGATACATGAGGTTATGTAGATATGTGTGAAGATACATAAAAGTCAAAAATACAGGGAAAAAGAGAAGGGACCTTGAAGCATTGAGGGGAGGCTTTGAATGTCTAAGGAGAGTCACCAAAGATAATTGGAAGTTTTATAAAGAAGTATGTTCAGGAGAACTGGATGGAGTTTCATTTTGATGAAGAATGTGATGGGTGCTGGAGAGTAGAGGGAGATGAGTTGAGGGGCAGGTTAGTAGATGTTTCAATCTGAATGCCAGAGGAAAGCAGGTGTAGAGACAGTGGATTAGGATTTAACTGTCACTTCAATGGGTGGATATTTAAACCAAGGGAGAGAAGGTATATGTGATAAGACTGGATCTGGGAGAGGCCAATATTTAAGGAGTGGGCAGAGAAGAAGCCATTGAGGGAAGCTGAGAAGAAACAGATGATTAAGTGGGAAACAGATGAATGGCTAGCAGTATCCAACAGAGTAGCAAGTGAGGCTGAAGGAGCCTGGAACTGAAAAATGCCCTCTGGAGTTAGCAGTATGGATGTCATTGGTGACTTTTTTCAGGGCAACTTCAGTAGGGTAATGGGAACAGAAGATAGAAAAGGGTGACTAGGAAGTGAGAATTCAGAGACTGTGTTTATAGGCTGTGTTTTAAGAACCCTGGGTGGGAAGGAGAAGAGAGAGAGGGCAACATCTACAGGGAGGCAAGTTGAATATGTAGGAGGTAGATGGGAGTTTGATGGAAGAAGATTCTAGAGGAGATGGAAGGAAGAGTACAGGTGGTGAATTGGCCTTGATTGACAGAAGTGAAAGCTCATCTTTGGAAAACTCAAGGGAGAAGGTAAAAAGGAGGACACACGAACCTAAATTTGTAGGGGGTGAGTGGGAAGTTCAGGTAATTCATATCTGTTGGCCTCAGTGGTTTCAGAAGAGAAGGAGGTGAGGTCACCTACTGAAAAAGAAGGGTCCAAACTGAAAGGATGTCCACACTGAACTCACCTTCCTCTCTACACTGGCTCCTTCTTCCTTATCTTAATAAATGGCACCACCACAATTTACTGTTGCTCAAGACAGAAACTTATCTTTGGAAGTTACCTTTGGTGCTTCCTCTCCCTCCACCTCCCCATAGCAAATGACTCACCAAGTCATGTAGTTCTTCCTATATCTTCATAAATCTGTCCACTGTTTTTGGACTCACTGCTACCACCATAGTACCCCATTCTCTTGAACTACTAACTGGTCTCTTCTGTTCTTGTCCCACTCCAATCCAGGCTCTGCAGTGTAGCCAGGCATCATTTTTTAACATGAAAATCTGATAGCAACTCCTCTACCTGAAACCTTAATATGATCTTTAAGACATTCTGTGATCTAGGCCCTGCTCATCTCACCAGGCTCCTCTCAAGCCACTCCACTGGCAGCACTTGGGACTTTCAGACCAACTGGACTGCTTTTTATTCTTTCCATTTTCTAGTCTTTAATTGTTAGTCTTCAGCTTAAGTCCACTTCTTTCAGAAGCTTCCAGACCACTCCTATCTTCTTAGCGGTTGACTTGGTAGGCACTCATGAGCACTTGCAACTCCCTATTGTAACATTCAGCATACTTGTGAGCACTTGCTCTGTGTCTTGACCATGAGCTCCACTGGGGCAGGAATTGGCTTCATTTTATTCACTGTTGTGCATCCAGGACCCAACATGGTGCTTGCCCCTTGAAGGTAATAGTAGTACCTTGAAGGCACTAGTTGAATTAATTCATTCATTTAAAAATATTTTTTTGAGCACCTGCTAGGTGCCAGGTATATTCCTTGTGCTGAGTATAGAAGAGTGAACAAACAGGTAAAGTCTGCTCTCATTACACCCACACTGTAGACCACACACATAGACCAATGACTACTATGCAAAGTGGTGATAAGGGCTATGAAGAAAATAGGCTCAATAAGGCATAGATACTGGGTGGCATGGATGGGGAGGATGGTATTCTACCTTCAATTTTATGTACTACTTCTTTACAGTATGTCCTCTTTTCTAAGGAAGAGGGTTTTCTCAGTATTCTCCCAAAAGGAATATAAATAAAATTCTATATTCTATGGATCCCTCAAAGATCAGGTCCAGTATCATGACCATCAAGAAACATTCTTTAACTGTTCCAGCCAACGTTAATTCTTTGATGTCTTGGACCATGGAATTAAGCATAAATTGCTCCCTTTCCCGCCCCCCCCCATAGATGTTAACTTTTGCCACATGTAATATTTAAAGCTCTTTAAAATAAGGAAGTATGTATTACATGCACCTGGCATGGGGCTGAGCATACAGTGGGTGCTTAATTAAGGCCTGATGATTGATTTTTATGCATCAAATGCCCTCTACACAAGTGGATTTTCAGTAGAAAAATTTTGTAGGATTTAATCCAAGTAATTCTTGAATTATGTGATAAGAAATAATCTTAAAATGACTTTTTATTTCAAATAGTTTTTGTTTCAAATAACTTAATATTTAACTCTGGGATTAGCAAAATTGCCAATGTTTTATATCATTCATGGAAAAAAAAGATTTTACTTGAGAAAAACACTGTGAGAATTTATATTTGAAAATATCAAGTCGATAAACGCACTGATATGAATCATAAAACTTTTACGGTGCTATGTTTATTGCAAGGAAAATAACATGCTGGAATTTTGCTTAACCGTTTGTTGATTTTACTAGAAATTTTACTTTCTTAAATAATAGCTAAAAGTTCAAAGTGGAAAACTATTTTTAAAAAAGATTTTGAGATGAACCTATTTTATTGCCATGGGTTACAAATAATGTTTGTTTGGGCTAGAATTATTAAATTGGTATTATCTGAACTGTGTGAAATTCATTTAAAGTAAACTTCTTACAAATATCTAGTATATCTCAAATTTAAAGCATCAAATGTTAAAGAAGTTTATTCTTAGCTATTAGAAAAAAAGAACAGTAATAAATTTTGGGTTGGATTTTTCTCTTCAGAAGTTGGTCATGAGAAATTAATCATTTCTAATTTACTGGCAAAGAAGCAGAATCACATAATTCTGGAGTTGGAAGGGAACTTAATATATCAAAGAACGGGATAAACATGTAAACATTAAAAATCTCTAAACTTTACCACAAGAATGAATTTCCCAATTACTTTTCATGTTCTTAAAATGAAATACTGACTTTAAAATTTGATTAAAAATGAAGAGTGCCCAAAGGAGTTTTGAGAAAATTGTAACTGGATGAATAACATCCTTAGCGTGAAACAGTTACCGGAACCCTGCAAACGGCTTGGTGGGGTGCCATCATTTGCACATGAAGTGGTGAGCCGTATTTAAAATATGTCAGAATTTTCACCTAAAATGAACTTGCTGAGATGTTGTCTGGGGCCTGGAAGGCTGAGGCACTGGAGTCAGGGAGATCTGCTTGGAAGCCCTTGGAAGGATGAGGGGGTATGAAGAACCAGTTTAAAGGAAGAGAGGCAGGGGCACGGGGAAGCAAAGATATCCATGAAGAGAGAAATGGCAGAATTCAGAGAAAGATTTCATATAGGCATGAAATAAATGGAAAACACAAAGTTGACCTCACATTATCTGCCTACAGTTTGCAAGAAGGGTACAACTACTGGCACATTTGGTGCAGGGGGTTGGGGTCATTGCTCAGGGACTTCCAGTTTTCAATTTTGGTGTGAATGTAAATAATCTTGCAGATGTAACAACAAGGAATTTATGGTTTTTGAAAAGCTCTCCAGAAATTATTTTTTTACAATTAAATAATTATCACTAATTGGTGGTATCTATTTGGAGTGTGTGTGTATGTGTGCATTGGCTTGTGTTCTGCTGGTCACACACAACTCCATTAGAGTCTTCAACTTGGTATCTGAGTGACTTTAGAGAAGCTACTAAATCTGAGTCTCACTGTTCTGTAAAAAGGGAGATGAAATATTTAGTATCTATCTGACAGTGTTACCAAGAGGATTAAATGAGATAATGCACACAGGAAGACCTTACACAATGCTTGCACATAAAAACTCCTTAAATGTTAGCTTTCCTTCCAAGTGAATACTGCAAAACCACAGCAAACTTGCATCTGTCCCAACAGCTACAGCTGCCCTCAGGGTACTACTCACTCTTAGGTAGAACTCTCCATTTTCATTTCCAGATTTAATCCGAAAAGTATTGATAGTGTTGGCATAAATGGTTGTGGCCTGTATCTGGAAGATATCTGATGGCACAGACCTATCGGATCGGATGCTCATGTACTTGTAGACTATAGACTGGGGAAGTTCTCGGCACACTGCACTTGAGACTGGGCAAACACATCGGCTGCAGAAAAAAACAAAAGTATTTCCCAGTTTAGCGTGGGAAGTCAGAAGGTTCTCACTTTCAAAAGCTCTGATTTTTCTTACTTCTCTGATGTTAGAACATAGGGATCTTGACAAGGATTTCGTGGGTAACAACGGAAGCCGCCATGATAATTCCAACACATTTCATCTTCCCGACATTCATTTGTGGTCTCACACTCATTTATATCTGTAAACACATAGGGTCAAAGAATTTACCGATCTAAGTAAATCGTATAACACTTCATAGCTTCACTTCTTGTGCTGTGCTTCCTAGGGACAGTCTAATCCACTGTCCAGAGCATCAAGTCTCCGCCCTCATGCCTTGCTTACCAAAACCACACCTCTAGGCTTTACCTCTCTTGGAAGCTCCTGAGTCAGTCAAATGCCCTCTCCATTGGTTTTGCTTGCTGCTTTCCCAGCCTAGAAGGCCCTCCCCACCCCAACATGAGAATCCCATCTAACCAGCACACTTCAAGGCCAAATTGAGATGCCTCTTCCTTCCTGCAGCCTTCTAACCCTCCAGGCAGAATTTATTCTGCTTCTAATCTTCCAGTGCACTTATCCATCTCTTATTTAATCCATTTTATTTTATAATTAACTATTGCCATATCTATATTCTTAACTAAATTACAATCTCCCCGAGGGCAAGAATTGGTGTCTTTCACTTTTATATAAGCACAGTCAATGGCTAACGTTTGGCTTTGAATTCAACAGATGAACGAACAATAGGTGCTTGATAAAAATATCGTAAAATGACACATACTAATCTGTCTGGAATGACTCAGCTACATCTGTCCTCAATTAAATGCAGTGAACTCAGGTCCTACTCAGTCTTGTGTCTAAAAGCACATTAAACTTAGCCCAGATCCCCATACAACCTGAATCTATCTGGATGTGTTCCACCTTGGGTGGCATAGCTATTTGGAGACTGTGTGGAAGAAAGGGAATTAAAGCAGGGGCTGTGATGAGAGGCAAGCCAGGAAAAGACAGTGTGAGGAAGCCAGAAGGGCAGAGAGTCCCAGAAAAAGAGTGCTGTGAGAAGGCCAGGCTGGACAAGGACTGGTTTCGGATTTGGGAATTAGGAGCCTCCAGATGACATCTGAGAGAACACTTCCACTAGAGAGCCATTATATTTACTACTAGAACAACAACAATGAAAATTCTATTAATATTTACATCCCTAGCTATGTCTACCTCCCTTTACATTTGAATAATGATTTCGATTTTATCCATTATAAGCCTTTTCTGAATCCTTCTGCCTCATAACCAAATACTTTCATTCATTAATTTACTTCTTCCATAAGTAATTTACTAAATCCCTGCTGCAAGCCAGAAATGGGCGAGTTGCTGGGGTTGAATCTGTTTTTCCTATCAGAATTCTCACACCCCATGTTCTTTTTTGGGGGGGTCTTTATTGCTCTCTGCTTTGCATTACTGAAATCTGCATGTTTGTCTTAACCCTTCTATTAGCTTATAAACCCCATTAGAGCAGGACTATAGTATTCATCTTTATATACCTTTATCACCTAGCATTAATGCACTCAGGGGCACCTGGCTTTTAAGAAATATTAAAATGAACTAAGTTGCTCTTCACACAAATCATGTAGACATAGATGAGAAAGATATTATCTCTACTTGACTTGGAGGAAAAACAAATAAGGGTTAAGTAAGTGGCTCAAGTTCATACAGGTAGTGACAGGCATGTTTCCACTGTAAGGTACTACACATCCTCTAAATGAGAATAATTCCATGCCTTGTCCTTGGAGGTAAAAAATTTTCTTTTAGCTTCCAAACTGGTCAAAGCTATCTGGAACCCAAGGGGAGACTGGAAAAGTTTCCAAGAGTTTCCAAGAGTCAGTTATACAAAGTATCTTCTTTTGGACTGGTTATGGCTAAAGAAAGAATTTAGATCCCTTAGAAGAAATCATAAGTGACTTGTCCTTTCAATATTCTTCACTTCTCTGAAAAATAAAGATGCTGTTAGCTACAAGGAAAACTAAGACTGGTTTGTTATATGGATACCAAAAATGGCAAAAGGAAACTTTATGTAATAATTTCATTTATTACTTCCATTAACTTAGAGCCTAGCATAATCAATATCTTAATCATTCTGGAATGTTTTTCAGGAATTATTAATAGTATTAAAATATTTGATGAATGTGTGTCTGTGTGTAAATGTATTCTCTCTCTGTCTCTGTTTCTCTGTCTGTCTCCTCTGTGGCCTCCACCCCACCCAAACACACACAGAGTTTTCATTTTTGCAAGGTTGTGGAAATGAGAACAGTTATTTCATCCTCAAAATAAGCCTTTTGGGTAAAGGTAAGAATCCATACTCTTTTGTTTTTACTTTAGTCTATAGATGAGGTTGGGAAGAGATGATTTTAGTGGAGAGAACCAATTGCTTTGTACCTTAAAAGAATGTTAAGTCTCTCTCATAAAAAATGTTTTGGCTTAACCAAACATTCTGGAGCTGCATATCTTCAAGATATAACACTCATGAATCCCTTATTTGCAATTCCAGTACATTTTTCACCTTTAATTGTAACAGATATGTTTCCATATACATAGAGTAGGCAGGTAAGATTCCACTGTATGTTAATTTACTTCTGTCCTTTGCTGAGTACCAAATCCATTTATGATCAAAAACACATAGACATTTATCTGAAGGACTCCAGGGAAATTGGTTAAGATATCCCACTGGCTAACATTTTCCTCCACGTAATATTCATGTTAAAAGTCTCAGGCTTCAGGAAGTAAAATCATCAGAATGCAATGCTTTTCCACAATTAACATTAGAGCCTCTAGGAACCTGGAAAGGGGTATAAAGGTGTTCATTGTGCAATGAATGGCATTCTGATTATGCTCATACTTAGTGGTTGGAGTCTAGTTAAATGATCATATGCATACTATAAAATCCCAGGTCCTGGGTGTTCCTCTGAGTTAATATTCTCCTGTAAAATCATGATATAGACTGCAAATTCCTAGTGTCTCCTTTCCTTGATTTTTTCCTTTCTTAAAAGATTTTACTGCCCTTGTATGTCCTTTCTCAGTTCTGATTAAAGAGGACTATCTAGGACAGATTTGCTACTAGTCACTTACATTGCTAAGTAAATTTTATGAAAACGTCTCGGATTGTAAGCCTTTTTAGTTTACAAATAATTTTTATGTATGTATTCTCATTTCATGCTCACAACTCCCTTTTCCAAATGAGAAAGCTGAGGCTTAGAGATATTTGATAATCTGTTCAATACTGTACAGATAGAAGGCAGTACAGCTAGGACTCAAACAAATTTTCTGTCTTCAAGTTCAGTCATTTTTTCCCCACCCCTTCACTGCTTTATGTAAACGTTAAGTCTCTATACTAGCTTTTCTAGGATTATCTATACTTATGGTTTTTATCTGAGCAGAGTTTTCCCTGTTAAAGAAATTTGAAACTACATATACCATTGGAGGTGTGTAGGTATGAAGATCACCTGAGTTTATTTTAAAACTGGACCCTAGGATATTAGCTATTTGGGGATCAATGGGTTTTTTTTGCTGAAGAATTCAAGCACATTTTAATACACATGAGGCTGATTTTATCAGCACCTAAATTACTGCCCAATTCATAATCTTGGTGTTTTAGAGGATAAGAGACTGGTTTAAGGTTTGCCTAACCCACATATTAAGTTTATTCTCTAGACTCAAACTCACAGTGAAATATTTTAATAATTGAATCTTTTGGGGCAGGTGATTAGAAGATGTATATCATAGAGATTATGTAGGCTATGTAGAAGAGATATCATTATTTTATTAAAATTATTTATATCTTAAGAAACAAAAACAATTACTTTAAGTTTTAAAAAAGTCAGTGTTAACTGAATCATACCCTTTTTATGAGATGTGCATATTGCATGATGAACAAGGGAAAAAAGAGCTCAGATTTTATTCAAGAGGGAAAAAATGAAAGTCTATGGTAGAGGATCCTGTAACTTTCTCCCTGCTATTTTTCTGGTTAAAAATGAACACCTAACAGATATGAAAACAATAAACTCACCCTGACAGGTTCTACTTCTCACCACTTGGTATCCCTGGGGACACATACACGAGAATTTCCCAGGTTCATTGACACACTGATACTGACACAGGTAGCTTGAGGTTCTGCATTCATCAATGTCTGTTGAATCAGACAAGAGCAGGGACACAGAGTTGAAAAACATATAGGTCACTACTTCAGCAATATTTTTAAAGGTAAGGTAAGAGGGTAAAAACGCTACAAACTCTAAAACAGAAATATAATACTTTGTAAGAAGCTCAGGGGAACATTCTACAACATCAGCTCATTTCCTCTAGAACTTCACCACACAAAGAGTTTTTCTTACCATCAGTTTACCTCAATCATTGCTGAGAGTTCGGTGGATCTCAGACCTAATCATACCGACTGAGCAGACTGAATGAACTGGGAATTCAGGGGAAGAATGCTTTGCATTTCTCAATGGTGATGTCCTTATAGTTTGCTCAGAAGGGCAGGGGCAGCTCTCCAGAGCCAGCCCCTTTTGGTTTTGAGCATAGTGGCATGATATGAGGTCTCTCTGGGGGGGGGGTATGATCTTTGTGGCCCCAAGTAAAGCTGGGAGGCCCCAAGTGTCAATGGCATTCCCCTCAGGATGTCTTATGCCTTCTGAATTGCACAGTGGAACATGCATGGGCAATGGACTCTGAAGTTCATCCTTCCAATTAAATGGCCCTCTTTTTACTTATGTGGAAAGTGAAACCCAGGCAACTTAAGAAATGTGTCCAAATCACACAGTGATGGGAAAAAGACTAGAGGACAGGTCTCTTGGTCTATATTCTAATGTTTCTGACATGTGATTAGCTCTCTTCAAATTTAAATGTGCATACCAGTCACCTGGGATTCTTGTTAAATGCAGCATCTGACTCAGAGGTCTGGTCTGGGGCCTGAGATCTGTATTTCTCCCAAGTAGAGACAAGGAGGTGTCATTGCTGCTGGCCATCAGATCACTTTGGGAAGCAAGACAATAGAACACTCCTTCTAATTATTAGACCCAGTCTTAATCTAATATTTCAGTTATTTTGTTCCTTCTCCTTTCTCTTGATAACATACTAAAAAGCCAATGTTATAATTGAACTTAATTAACTGGATTTTAAAATAGAATTCCCATGGTTAAAAATTTGTTTTCATAAACAGACATAATTGGATAAAGCAACAGCAATTATTCAGACTGAACTGTTATTACAAATTATTGGAAAATATTTTACCTTCACAGTTGAGCCGGTCACTGCTCAGCTCATATCCTTGATTGCACTGACAGATGAATGAACCGAGAATATTGTAGCATTGCTGAGCACATTGATTGCTAGCGTCACATTCATTTATATCTGAGAGGAAACATTATATTTATATATCTATGTCTTAAAACATATCCTTGCTCTTTTGTACCTATGCCATCTAATGATAAGTGAATGATTCCTGGATTGGATTCTTTGCCCTGCAGAAGCTCACTGGAGAACATCCATTCAGGTTTCATATTTGTTGGAATAACTTCAAACGTCTGTCATGCACTTCTTTTAGAAATACCGTAATATTTCTTTCTGGGAATGACAGTTTTGTGTTTGATGAAATTTTCCAAAGGAATTTAATGATTCTAATAAATATACATTCCAGTATCTATGTTCTTTTATTGTTGTTCAGATGCAAAGTGCCAAGTCCATAAATAATTGATATAAGACATTCATACTGATACGGTCTCTCAGCATGCTGTGGTGAAGATTTATCTGTGCTATTTATTACTTTTTAAATGGGTTCTGTTAAATTCCATTACAATTATAACATAAGCCTTTGAGACCCATACAGAGTTTTGCAATGCTCTAAGGCACTGAAAATATTGTGAAAAGGCATTTTTCCTGCACTAGATTCTTTCCATGTCATGCCAATCTTAAGATTGTGTGCCGTGACACTGCATTCTGAAAGGGGAGAAGAAGCATGTAAAAATCAGATGCACTTTCAGTGGAAATTTATGTACTTGAACTTAGAGTAACCCATTGGCACCTTCAGCATTTATATCACACACTGTTGACTAATTGGTGTGTGCATATCAATTGATCTGTAGTTTTTTATATCTTTGATACACCCACAGAGAAGAAGTAAGACCAAGGTTAACAAAGTTTTCCATTCACATCTTGACGTGTTTTAAGAAACAGATTAGTTATTGTCTTTTCAGCTTTATGCAGGGAAGATAATGCCAGTTCACTCAAGAGCACAGAAAACTGGAAATACTGCAACATGCCCTGATGTTTGTTTTGAAGACAGAAATCCGTCAGTATGGCAGTTTCCCCAAATCTTACCTACACAGGTATAGTTGTTTGCGGCCAACTGAAACCCAGGACTGCACTGGCAATAAAATGATCCCGGTGTATTCACGCATCTTTGGTGGCAATATGGAGGGATGGTGCATTCATCTATGTCTGGGTTATCAGGCACACAAAGAGAACCAGGTTATTGACTATCCATAGCTGTTAGCTCTTTAGTTCTCAGCAGAACATTATCTAGAAAACCTAGCTGGAGAAAAATCTCATTTTAAAAGTAATTCTCTCTCTCTTTTTGAATTAGGGTTTATTTTTTAAAAAATATACTTTGGTTTGCGTTCTGCAGTTGAGTGAGATGTTAAAAATAAAGACTCCACAAGGCTGGTTGAGTGGGTTGAGATTTAAAGCCCGAAAAGCAAGGAAGACTATTTCACATATATATGAGAATATATATGTCAGTTTGGGGATCTAAAAGATTATCTGTAATGACAGAAGTAAAAAAGGGCTATGGAAGAATCGACTGATGTAACATAAAACTAAGAGAAAGGAGGCGTGGTCTGCCGCTCGGCTGATGATGTTGGCCAAGTCACATAAACGTTTGGCATCTTGGTTTTTTCTTTTGTAAAATGTGGATAGTAATGCTTGCTATGTGTATCTTATGACGTTTCTGTGAGAACCAAATGAAAGAACACTGTGGAAGGAGTAGGATGCTAAACAAATTACCTCTTGAGAGTGCCCTCTGACATTCTGATGAAGTGTTCCAGGCTGTGTTCTTCTCAGATAAATATTTCCAACAATAAAATGGTCAGTTGAGAACTTGCGGGGTAGGATTAATTAACATCTTAGAAGCATAATAAAATTTCATTAACTCTACACTTTGTGACAACTTTAACATGGAGTGTGTAATTTAAAATAATAATTATGCATGTAAATGTAAGACTGTAGTGACCCTACCTTATGGTAAAAAATGAAAAGAAAACAATACTTTATGCTGAGTTCTTCTGACTAAAACTGTGGGAGGCAGTATGCTCAAGTGGCCTCAGGATAACCTGAGATGAATCTTTGTTCTGGCACTTACTAGCATGGTCTTAACCTCTCAGAGCTTCATTTCCTCTTCTGTAAGTGATAATATAACAATGTGGTGGACTTGTTGGGAGGATAACATGAAATTATATAGGCAAACTTCCTTGCAAAAAAACAGGTAAAAATAAATGGCAGCTATTATTAATAGGCTGCAAAATAGATTTGATTTCACTTGAATATTGAAGTAAAAGGTAATGACATTGACATGGCTTTCCACCTCATTTATTGAGGTGTCTGCTCAAATGTCACCTCAGGGAGGCCATTCTGTCCATCTATATAAAATGGCTTCTTCTGTCCCATCTGTCCCTTTTTCTGCTTTATATTTCTTTGTAGCCATTGACACTCCTTCACATTGTGTTATGTGTTTATTTGCTTCTTATCTATCTCCCTCACTATAATGCATGGCAAATAAGACCTCTTTCCTCTTCAGGTGAACGTAGAATATTTTTTGTCTGTTCACTGCTTTGTGCTTAATACCTGGAACGGGGTCTGGCATAGTAGGTGCTTGATAAACATTAGTTGAATGAGTGTAGACTTTATACTAATTAAGAGCAATTTTAGCATAGTTCTTCCTAGTACACCATATTATAGCCAGGTGCCAGTATTGACAGTGAATTTGTATAAATGGTCCCTTCTAATAGCTCCATGAGGGACGTGATTCTGTAAAATGTGTTTGTTCACCATGAAGGCCCAGCACTTAGAGCAGTATCTGGTACATGGTCAGCCCTCAGTAAATACTTGATGAATAAATGATGCATGTCTTCTTAACCAGTGAACATCCATTGAATCATTGTTATTTGCAAGCATTGTGTTTGGCACTACAGTTTTATAATGATCGTAAATACATACAGTATACCCTGTCTAGCATGGAAGAAAGGCATGAAAACATATTATCACATGGAATGGTAAGATCAACAGTAGAAAGCTGTACAAGGGACAGAAAGAGCCCATTCTACTCAAGGTGTGACCTGCTGACCACTGTTAGTCCATGGACTATTTGGACCAGTCTGCAACAAATAAGTACAGAAATTGAGAAAAATTGAGAATATGTGTTTAGGAATAGCAATTTGTGTTACCACAACATTTTTTATTGTACTTTATAGTAGTATCAATCTGCAACAGACTAGAAATTTATGAAAAAAAAAGACTCATCAAGGTTTGAGAAGTAGTGACATAGAGGAGGGAGTAACTAATCATGTCTAGGTAAATCATGGAAGACTTCCCAGATGAAGTGACCCTGAGCTGGGATTTGGAAATTGAATAGGAGTTTGCCAGGGCTGCGCGTTCCTGGTGCTGAAAGAGCTTATGTAGAGGCACTAAAGTGTGACACTGTGTGATGTATGTCGGGAAATGTAACTAGTGAACAAGGCTGAAGTATAATATTTTGGGGAGAGAAGGGTGTTGATACAAAAGAGCTGGGCAAGGATCTGATGGAAGAAGACCTTATATGCTCTGTTGACGAATGTGGAGTTGGTTCTGTGGGTGAGGGGAACAGCAGGGAAGCCACATGATTAGATCTGAATTTAAGAACGTTTCCTCCTGCCATATCATATAGGGCTGTAATCATACATTTTATTCCCTTTAATTTTTCCCATAGTAGTTTGAGTTAGTTCTTTTTCTGTACCTTTTATACCCTCAGTTGTTTATTTTCCTGACTAATCCATCAGGCAAAACTTTGGTGCCTGTGGAGTTTTCCATACAATCTTCTCCTACATCACAGCTTCAGTCACACAAAGCCTGGGCCTTCCTCAGAGGCTGGGCACTCACCCCAAAACCTGGGCACAGCCCCCTGGTGGGCAGGACTGGGCCAGGGCCCTTGAGGAGCTCAGTATTGACATCCTGACATCAGCAGTGGACATTCTCAGGTGAAAATTAATGCTAGCTTCCTGTCCCCACATTCTTATCCTCTGTTCCAAAGAGGAAACAAGGACTCTTCACTGATGTGTGTTAAAAGGTGGCATGTAAATCACTATCAATATCATATGAACACAATTGATATAGGGAGTCAGTAACAAAGTTTTACTCCTAGTGCTGGACCTCATGGCTGAACCCAGAACACATTTACTTTTACTGTTTACTTCTCATTTGCCAGTCAGTATCCTCATACTGTATACTTCTAGTCATTATAAAAAACAATGCACAGAGCATCTACTTGGCAGGCACTTTTCAGATCTGGGGAGACAGCAGTGACACAAACCAGACCTGGCTCCTGCCCTCAGGTAGCTTAAGTAGAGCTCTCAAGTAGAGGCACATGCTGTACTTGGCTTTGCATTCCCAGCACTGCACCAATGTGCAACATAACGAATGTTTAGTACATGTCTCTTAACTCATCACAGAATGATAGCACACAGCTATTCCACCCAGGACTTGTCGCAGCTCTAATCACTCCCATATATGAGCTCCTGAGTATGTAAGTCATTTGTCTAAAGCCTCAAAGTGAATTAGGGGTAGAGCTGGGATTTGAACCTCACCATGTGTCCTATAAGCTATGCTATTTTTTGAACCAGTGAATGAAGGTCACCTCATCAATGTTTCGGTGCTATGGCCCCCAAATAGCTAATTTAAAATTATTTTCTTGGTTGCTTTTGTGGTCCCATTCATACTCCAAATTTTTGCTTTTGCTTAGTCTAACATGTAGCCAACACTTTGATATCCAGAATATGCTCACCCTTTAAAGTTAGCTCTTTCTTGTTAATGTGGAAAATGGATCAGGAGTCAATGAAAGAATAAGCAGTTGTTAGCTATCATTCTCCAAATAAATATGAGTGCTTTGTTTTGAATGACTGAGGTTTAAACAAGTAAGAGGTTTAGGACCAGGATTTTGCTCACTGCTCTGCTGTACTTACCTACACACTGCTCTCCTCGCTTCTGATACCCTGGAGGGCACTGACAGGCGAAGGAGCCTCGTAAATTGATGCACACTTGGTCGGCTCTACAGTTGTGAGTCCCTGCAGTACACTCGTCTATGTCTGGTAAAGACATCCAGCACAGAGTTTGAGTTGGTTGTGCAGATGTTACTATTTCCTCCATTTAAAAAAAAACCCGAAGAAGTATAGTTGACACATAAGTGACATTCAGATGTACAACATAGTGGTTCAACAACTCTATACGTTACGTTATACTCACCGCAAGTCTAGCTACCATCTGTCACCATACAATGATACTATTGCAGTACCATGAACTACATTCCCTATGTTGAATTGTCATCATACTTTTTTTTAAGAAATAAAGTTTTTTACTTTATTCTTAAAACAATACTCTGTAATATTATTATATTAGAAATGTTTAAAATGATAAATGATTTCAAGTGTTCAGAAAATAATTTCATAGGTGCCGGTATATACCACTCAGATTTAACACATGCTAACATTAACCGATGCTTGTCTCGGCTCACTTTATTTCCAGAAATGAAACATTTGAGACATAGCTAAAGCCTTACTGTATTCTCATCTCTTTACCCACCCACCTACCACTATGCTGGTAGGTGTGATTCTTTCCCTGAAATGGTTTTATACTTTTATTATACATCCATCCATTAGACTAAACAGTGCATCTGTTAGAATATACAGTGCTATTTTGTGTGTTTTAGTGTAAATAAATTGTATAATACTTCTACCCAACATATTGTATTTGAGATCATTTATGTTGACAAGTCTCTAAAGATCTGTTCAGTAACCAGATATAAATCAAACTTTAATACTGTACATTTCCTGTTGCCTTTTTTTTTTTTAACTTTAATTGCAGCGATGCCTGTGTGGCTCAGTTGGTTGAGCATCTGACTCTTGATTTGGGCTCATGTCATGATCTCAGGGTCGTGGGATGGAGCCCTGTGTCAGGCTCCACGTTCAGTGTGGAGTCTGCTTGAGATTCTCTTGCTCTCTCCTTTTGCCCCTCCCCCCAGCATGCCCTCTCTCTTTCTCAAATAAGTAAATCTTTTTAAAAAAACCCTTTTTGGGGCCCCTGGGTGGCTCAGTCAGTTAAGCATCTGCCTTCAGCTCAGGTCATGATCCCCGGGTCCTGGGATACAGCTATATCGGGTTCCCTTAGCTGGGAGCCTGCTTCTCCCTCTCCCTCTGCCCCTCCACCCCCCTGCTTGTGCTCTCTTTCTCACTCAAATAAATAAATAAAATCTTAAAAAAAAAAACCTCTTTCATTGCAAATTTCAAAATGCAAAGGATTCAACTTGTTCATATTCCTCTAGGAGAGAGAAAACTGGTGTAGTTTAAAATACCTATTTTCCCAAAGCATTTCATTTCAGTTTAAAAAAGGTATTTCCCCAAAGCAGTTCTATAATTTACTAAATGTGCCCTAAGGAGTAGGTAGATTATAGTTTCAGAAAAGTAAAAAATGCTCATAATATAATGAATCTGTTATAATGAATTTCTTTGGGATCAAAGTGTGATGTGAATTTGTGCATGTGCATTCATATTACAGTAATTTATAAGTGAAATTTAATTTTGCCTTTTCAACATTACCTTCGCATTCAATTAACTCTCTCCCATTATGAAGTTAAATAGGTGAGTTAAGAAGATTATGTGATTTTGGCATTCTTCAACAACTGAAGAGTCTAAGCTTTGTTAAAAAATTTTATCAAACTTGGAATTCCTAGATGACAAATTTTGCACAGAAACTGAGAGCCTTAGATCATCACTGTGGTAAACCCAGGGTGGTGCTTTGGAACAAACAGTGGGCTAAAATTCAATACAAACGATGAGCCATCAGTAATTAGAATGTATTCCTCAATTCCTGCCTTCTCCTAAAGACGCTCAGAGAGTGGTTCCTGCTGTGTTGCCTTTCAACTCTCTCTATTTCCAGGGAAAGCTGATGCACTCACTCTACCAATATAAGAATGTAGGAGGTTCCTGTTGTAAGAGAGTTGTCCTCAGATATCGGCTTTGAACGATAACAGAGATTTTTTCCAAAAGAAAGAAGAAGGGGAGATGAGAAATACTCGAGGGATGTATGGCCATTTATTGGTTAATACCCTATAAAAGCATCTACTTAACATAATTCTTTGAACCTGGTTTTAAAGTTGTGGTGAACTTTTTGCGTTATTGTTTTTTATTTTTGTTTTGACATCCATTGTCATCATCATTATTTTCAAATCAGTGATTTCGACTCTGTCCTTTTAAGGTACTATGCAGAGGTGCCACAGTCTTGCTTTGAAATTATCTGCTCTTTTTTGTGTCTTTTATTATATTCTCATATGCACTTGATGAAAACATTTCTACTGGGGTTTCTTTCAGAGCTTTATGACTCGCTAATGCAGAAATGACAGCAGAATTCCTATTGTTTTATGTCAAGAGCATCTGCCAACATTTGCAGTGATAACAGCCCTGAGAGATACCGAAATGTGAGACTCAGATGTGGCAAGTTTCCTCAGTACATGTGGGCAGAAGATCAAGGACTGGGGCCGGCTGCTGCATGTTCTAAGGGAGGCCTCACCAGTGACTGCGGCTTTTCTTTCTGAGACCTCTCTGCAAACCGCCTCCACCCCATCGCATTCCCAATGCCCTACAATTTCCTTCCTACTTTCTTGTTCACTTCTAAGGCTCTTTGATAAGTAGGCTAATATTTCTAGTGGACTTAATATATCATTAAATAGGTTTTAAATGTAAAAATTGTGCTACCTGGACCTACCCCTTCTTAAGAACCAGGTCCGCTGACCCTCTGAGAAAGATTACTGAGTAAAAATATTAGGTGAGTTAAAATAATTTAATAATAAAAAAATGCCACTGCCCCCATGCCACTGTATTCTTTTCCTTTCTCTATCAAAACAAATAAACAAACAAACAAACAAACAAAACTGCAATAGGACTCACCGCACCTAACACTGGTGATATTTTTAACACACTTTGTACATACTTGGACTCACTTTAATTTTTAATTCTTTCAGATGGGAAACTTCCTGAAATTCAGTAAAACACAACTGCATGAAATCCCCTTCAAGAAATTATTCCAAAGGAGTTGAATGCGTGCTCTGTCATATACCTAGAGCTGGATCTGCTAGGAAATGAACTGACTACATTTTCATTTACAGCTTCTCCAACTCAAGCTGAGACAATTTATCCTCTCCTTCGCTCTTAGCAGTTTATCTAATGCTGAAGAACACATAGACAGATAGGATCTCTTTGAACTATCTTCGATTATACTGTCAATTCATACCATTATTTAAATAACACAATTTTATTATTTTAAAAGTTGTACTTTGAGACCCTGTTATTATCTAATCACAAAGCATATGTCATATGAGAAAGTCATGTAAGAATTGTTATGCATTGTTAAAGTCTCTTACACTTTTTTCTAAAGGTTTTATTTTTTAAGTAATCTCTACACCCAACATGGGGGGCTCAAACCCACAACCCTGAGATCAAGAGTCGCTCGCCCTACTGACTGAGCCAGCCAGCTGCCTCTACGCTTTCCTTTTCTACTTGTATGCATTTCTATTTGTCTTAAACATCAGAAAGTTAACGTGGTAAGTCACTAAAACATACATCTATGTCAGAGACGCGAAGAATATCCATTCCTATGCTGGTATATCAGAAGACCTGGTTTCCCAGACTTTTCATTTATGAAAGGCCTCTGTGGTGGAAGTATCTCAAATGGCAAAAGCACTGCTTTATTCATAAGGGAAACGACTCAGGTCAGCCATGATTTTCTTGGTAATCTAGGAAAAAGTACTCTGGGAGAGGAGTTTTTGTTTTGCTTTTAAACTATCTATAATTTATCCTTGACAGTGAAGCTCACAGTTCTTAAGCAATCAGTTAACACATTCCCTGGGCCCTGGCCCCAAACTCTTTGAGGGTGGGGTCTACATCTTACTTTTTTCTGTATTCCTAATGCCTCGCAGAGTGCATGAAACATCGTGGGTTTCTGTTTGTTCAATAAATGGATGAATGAATGATAATCGTTTGCTGGAACCGATGCCTAGAGTTTGAAGGACGTAGGATCAGTGTTTTATCTTATGGAACTAATCACTGGAAGGGTGACAGGCAAGATGTGAGAAACAGCAAAACCAGCAAGATGTCAGCACACGGAAACTGTAGGAAAGCAAAGTTGTTGAGAAGTGCAGAAACTAGGAGGCATAAGGCAGCATCGGAGGTGGGTGGCTGTAGAAGGTTTGCTGGGCCAGGGGAGTTTTGAGCTGCGTTTTGAAGAAGGTGAGGAGGCTATTTCTAGGCAGGAGGCAGGCTCGCATTAGAAAACCTCCAATGAAACAAGTGGTCTGCAAGGCAGTTGGAGTCAGCATGGCTGGAGGGGCTGTGTGTGAGGAGCCCGCTGCGGTGCCTGCTTGAAGGGGCTCATAAAGTGGTAGCGCAAATCCTAAGCAAAAATTCAGGGCCTCAAAGTGGGATTGGAATTTGAATTGGACATCACGGGGAGCAGCTCTGAACTATGTAGACACAGCCTAATGTAAACATAGCCAGAGAACAAAATAATAGAGTGTGCTTCCTAAAATATCACAACACGTAAATCAACTCACATTTCATCATTCTAATGCATCAAGAATAGCTAAGGGCAGTATTTGGTGATTCCCTCATTTTTCAAAAATGTGCCCACACTCTCCCTCCTAGTGATTTATACTGTTGTAGGTCCCTTTCTTGCTGACTTTGGCACCATTATTGCTTCAAATAATGCAGTCTGATCTTTGCTCGGCTCTTACTCCTAGGCTCTTCATCATGCGGACCCCCAGTCTATGGGACTGCATACTTGGTTTCCTCTCAAAAGTTAATGGAGGCAACTGTGTCCACATCTCTGTGGTGTCCATTAAGTCCCTGCTTAGGCCCGCATTCTCTATGTTTTTGGCTCCTTCCTGTCATTCTGACTCATATTTCCCAAACCCCTGACTCATGCTGCTTTCTCTCTTATGCAACATTTTAATCTCTGCAATGTTCTCTTCATAATTTGATAACTTACCACGACATGGACATTGAGTGTGTTTTCATGGGCAAACATTTTCTGTACCTTA